ATACGATACACTAGAGATACACTAGAGATACACCAGAGATACGATACACTAGAGATACGATACACTAGAGATCACTAGAGATACACTAGAGATACACTAGAGATACACTGGAGATACGATACACTAGAGACACGATACACTAGAGATACACTAGAGATACACCAGAGATACGATACACTAGAGATACACCAGAGACACGATACACTAGAGATACACAAGAGATACACCAGAGATACAATACACCAGAGATATGATACACTAGAGATGCGATACACCAGAGATACAATACACTACAGATACAATACACCAGAGACACGATACACCAAGGATACGATACACCAAGGATTTATGTTATGTGTTGAAGCAGTCTGTGGAATCAGAAGAGCTGTGATGGCTCAGCACAGAATGGAAACTGAGCTGCTTTAGGTGTCAACATGAGAAGAGCTGTGCTATAAAAATGATCCATTAAGAAAAATCGCCGCTTTGGCAAATTGAATATACTTTTGTGAAGCTGCGAACAACATGAAAGTAAAGCTCAGCTAAAAAAAAGAATTTGTTTCATAACAAATTAGACACTTTCAGTGAGATTTGCTGAAAGCTTTGGGCCTATAATAGAAAACCTATTTCCTTTGATGTTGCTGATTTTACACCTCTATACCTACCAGGATATTCAAACAGTGACAGAAACTAAACTTCCTGAAGACCTTTTCGATTGTAGATAATGTAATATCTCATCCAGATGCTGAAATGGGGTCATTATCTGAGATGAAATACTGAACATTTAAAATGTGTGGTCATTCACAAACACAAACCCTAAGTAACACCATAACTTGGCCATAGTTTTGCTTTTGGAAAAGAGTGCCCTATGTGGCTGTTTAATGTCCCTTTGTTGTTATTTTGTGTCCTTTTGTGGTGGTTTTGTGTGTCTTTGTTGTCATTTTCTGTCCCTTTGTGGTGGTTTTGTGTGTCTTTGTGGTTGTTTTACGTGCGTTTGTTGTTTCATCCATCTGCTTTGAGACAACTCTTTCACACTGAATCAGTTTCTGTGGGTAGGCAACAGGAAGTAGATTAGATGGTTTTCACTACTCAGAAATGAACATGGAGACCTAGAACAGACGATTCTAAAACAACCGACTCACGTTACAGTTGGACTTTTCTGTCTTTATCTTTGTTTCCTACCTTCTCTTGCTGTTTACTCATCACTTTGCTACACCTAACACATTTTGTCTGCTGAAGGCTTTGCCATGGCAACAGGTTCCACAACAATGATGCTGCTATTGGAGACCCTGAAGTCCTGTAATGACACTTTTCAACGGGCTTGAGTTAAGGGCTTGAAGCAGAATAGAAAAAAAACACATTGCTGGCTGCCTCTCGCCCATTGAATACTGGGACAGGCTCCTGTCCCCCCGCGGCCCCCATTTGAGAATAATTGTTCATAAAATGGATGGATGGAACATCAATGGTGACAACAAAAACAAAATGGTACCCATTCCAACTTCTCTTGAGTCACAAGGAGAAATGTGGCCATTGTAACTAACTCGATTTAGTTTTCTGTCAAAGGGAATATAAGAACCCCTGAATTCGCTTTTCTGTGTAGAATTTTCCTGTTCTAACTTTATCTGTTCATAAATCTCGGATTCATGGGCATTTTATTAAACTGTGTATATTTCAGGGTCGTTTGAAGCTGAGGAGACAAAGCTGGAAGACGTCAGGTACCTGGAAAGAAAAGACGAAGATGGATAGGTGGATAAAACGAGGGCTTGGCCATCGAGTGGACTGGAGAGGGAGAGGGGTTGATAAAGCGGATGGGCGTGGAGGAGGCGGTCGGCTCATCCTGATTGGAAAAAAATGGAAGACGGGCACGCGCTGATCCGGTGACGGGTCTCCGTTTGCCGGGGAGGGAGGGCTCTGAGTCGGTCAGGGCGGGAGCCTCGTTCGCTGGCGCGCCGGTTCTCTTCCCCACCGACCCCTTTTGTGTTTGAAACTCTCATATCTCACGTATCAATAATTTAGGTGCGCGCGAGAGAGCAGACGGAGCTCCCCCCCTCGCGCGCTATGAGTTCTGCTGCCTCGTCACTCGCGAAGGGCCCTTCCGCACGGCGCGCGACTCCCGCTCTCTGCGTCCGCAAGTGACGGAGAAGCTGCCGATAAAGTGAGAGGAGAGCAGGAACAGGTGGACGGAGAGTCGACCGGAAGGCAGGAGAGTCTACGGCTTCGGCTGTGAAAGCGGAGGGGAGACGCCTTAAAACAGTCCAGAGTCTGTTTCCCGCCCTCAGAGCCTGTTTCCCGCGTGTTTGCTCCTAACGGTCCGAGCGCGCGGAGTGGCTTCCACCTGTCGTCCGGCGCATTTCGAGGCTTTCGGAGCTCTCGGAGACTCCTCCCGGTACTTTTGTTCTCCAGGGGGGGGAAAGCAGAGGCCTCCCGCTGAGCCGTGAAGCGCCAGAAGTTCGCCCTCTCCGCTCCGGCATGTTGGCGTTGTGCCTGCTGGGCGCCGCGTGGCTCGCCGCGAGCCCGGCCCGCGCGCAGAACGAGACCGAGCCCATCGTCCTGGAGGGGAAGTGCCTGGTGGTGTGCGACTCCAACCCGACCTCGGACCCCACGGGCACGGCGCTCGGGATCTCCGTGCGCTCCGGCAGCGCCAAGGTGGCGTTCTCCGCGGTCCGGAACACCAACCACGAGCCCTCCGAGATGAGCAACCGGACCATGGTCATCTACTTCGATCGGGTAGGAGGACGAGTGTCCATTTCTTTTTTTTTTGTCTCGATCAGAGAAACGGCGCGGAAATGAAAGATAAAGAAGTAAGGAGAGAACACGAAAATAGCTTCACAGCTTTAAATCTGTCAGAGAAAAGATCAGAAAAAGCTCAAATGTGAAGTTTAGGATGCGCCTCCTGCGCGCGCGGAGCGCATTAAATGTCACAGATGTTGCTGCAGAGGAACCACTGGTTGTTTTTTTTGTTCAAAGACTATTTCTGCTGGTCAATTTCAAACCCTCAAACAAAATTCAGAGAGTTAATCTAATGAATACGGATGCCAGAGGCAGCTATTGGCCATCTGAAAAATGTCAGAAAAGCAATGAAATGTCTGGGGTGGTTAGAAAATGTACACCTTAGGTGTTAAACCTTTTGGAGTATTTCAACTTCTTCAGTACAGAATGGTGAGAAATGGAAACTGACATCCAGCCAAATAATTTTAGTGATGGGGGGGTGAAAAGGGCGAGGTTCTGGAACCGGCCGCTAAAGGTCAGCTCCCTCAAAGAGTCCTTTAGTCACAGATGACCGCTCCGCTTTTGTTTCTTCCAAAAGTCGGGAGTTGTTGCAAAGCCAAAAAGTCAATTCGGAAGCGGGCTTTGCTGCTGTGTGCTGGTGTGGACGGGGACCTGGGGGGCCCTTGGGGGCCATCGGGGGCCATCGGAGCCCTCTGGCTCTCCAATAAAGACGACCTCCGACTGGACGCGTCTGCTGCCTGTGACAGAGGAGCCTCTTGTTCACCAGTAAAATGAAGCCTGTCTTTTTTTTTCTTTTCTCCGGCAGGTGCTTGTAAATGTTGGGAGGAATTTTGACGAGGAGAGAAGTAATTTCATCGCGCCGCGCAAAGGGATTTACAGTTTTAACTTCCACGTAGTCAAAGTCTACAACCGCCAAACCATACAGGTAAGGACTCGCCTCTCCGTCCAGATGTGCGCGCTGGTTGTGTGCGTCTGTGTGCGTCTGTGTGTGTCTGTGTGCGTCTGTGTGTGTCTGTGTGCGTCTTCTGTCATAAAAAGTTGAACAAATCTGCCGGCGTTTTGAAGACGTGTGTCCCTGGAGGAAGCCACAGAGGCGGGCGCTAACAGATGAGAGCTAATTGCCCCCCCCCCGCCGGCCCGGTCGCAGCTAATCAATGCACGCGCGGAGAAAAGAGGC